AGCATTGACATTTTGTTAACCATTTAATCTATTTTTCATGTCAAATTTCTGCAGAAATGAACCTTGCAAATGCAAGGCGAAGTAAGGGTGAAGATGCTACTGATGATGACACCCCAAGTACCTCTGGACGCCAATTTGCAAACTCTCATGTTTCTCAGGTTTTGCTGTGTAACACTTTTATCTGGCTATTGGTTTTATTTGTTTATGTATTAATTATTATGAGGTTTTGATTTCTCTCTTTTTCCTCCTTAATTTTAATGACATGTTTAGCGTTTTGGCCAATCTCCCCTACCTGCTTATGAACCAGCTTTCGACTGGGAAAATGAGAGGTCAATGATATTTGGCCAGAGGACTCCAGAGAACCCTGTGGTACACCATGGCAGTTTCAGAATCTTGATCCTTTCTTAAATTATGTTGAGATTTATTGGTTTGCTTTAGATCAATCTCTCACAGTCTATGATATCTTGTCTGTTGGGATTGGTGGCCTTAGTGGATTGAAGATCTCTGTGAAAGTTCTGTCCCTTACGTTTCAAGCTGCTGTGGAGTTGTTGGTTAGTGTTCTTTCCCTGTTATCCACAAGCTGCTGCGTCTCTATAATGTTAAAGATACTGCTTTATTTCATTATTTTTTGCACATTTAAGATTTCTGACCTTGTTCCCTCTATTTCTCTCAGAGCCATTCTATGGTACAATTTGCTTATACAATAGGGGGAGTAGAGAAAAATTGTCAAAAGATTTCTATTTTAGCGTTCTACCAACTGAAAATCTCTCTGCTATGCCTAAAAAAGACCCAGGTGTGACTCTAGGCTTGTTCTTTCTGTTTTCATTATCCTTTCTATACCCTTGCACCCCCAAACCAGTCCTTTAAGCATAATCTGACCGCATCAGGAATATATCAAATTATATGTTTTTAAGGACCTATGAGTGTTAATAAGACAATCAAAAAGGATAAATGGTAATTTTCAAAATTAAAATCATTTTAGAAATTCACCACTTTAAATTCCATTAAACCCTGTCCTTACCTTGGTCCCCAGTAGTGCTCAGATGATATGATGACACAAACCCCAAGAAAAAGTATCGACATTCATCCCTCTATTAGGATTTTAGAAAAAATAGTCATCTTATTGAAACAGCGAACAACAGTCAAAAACATTCTAACACAACAAAGATAATAAGAACACTTGAAAACCTATAATTACAAACAAAAAAGGCGTACAAATGAACTGCTAGGAAGTGATAAAATAATTTAAACACAAATGGGTGAGCACATACAATTTTTGTGGCAAGGTTTTGAAAATCGGACTGGATCGGTCAGTCGGACCAGTTAAACCAGTACTTGGTGGTTTAAACGGTTTGGTTACATTTTTCAAACCGTTTAAATGGTTGAACCATTTGAAACCGTTCGAACCGGTAAACCACTTGAAACCACTCAAACCGTTCAACCGGATGGTTCAATATTTGGGTATAAAATCTTGAAAATTTTGCCTCCGGTGGGATTTGAACTTGCAACCTTAGGGTCTTTATGTTGATCCTTTGCCACCAGGACAATGCAATTCTTTGGTCAATGGGTGCTTGGACTTTTATTTAACCCATATAAATCCCAAAGATTTTAACCATATTATTGATTACAAGCTTGAGATGCGAACACTTAGCCTCCATGTTGTAGAACAAAGGTTTTTCCACTTGTACACAATGTTCTTTTGTCATATTAATGCTTTACAATATACTTATTCTACTTTTAAAGCACAATTATATTAAAATTTGTTATCGGGGGGACTTGAACTCTGGATCTCTCTTATAGAAAGTTAGCAATCTACCAGTGCAACCCACCTAGTGATATCTTATGCAAAATCATATATTTATAGTATTTGATTAACCCGACAGTTTTACCGGTTAAACCAATTGAACCATTCAAACCGCGAACCAGAGGTCAAAACGGTTTGACCTCCGGTTCGGGTTTGAAAACATTGTTTTGTGGCATCTAGTTGAGTTCCAGTTATCTTCAGGTGGACTTCGGTATCCTTCTGAATCTTAACCTGGAAGAGGCATAAGTGAGAGACTAAAAGAACCCATCTGTGCAAAAGAAAATTAACAATTACTTTGTTTTTGAAATAATAAGCTAAACCATACCAATCCATCTGAAGTAGTATAATTGGGAATATCTCCAGATTGAAACTCCATATCATCCAGAATCAACCACCAAAATAAAAACCATTATCAATAGAGATGCAGAAGACATGTATGGCATAATCAGTTAATCACAGGTCAAGGACATAAAGTATGAGCAATTAAAGACACCCAATTTTGTAATCCACCCAGCAAAAAACGAATTCTGGAACATTTTCTACAGAGATTGGCCCAACCTTTTTCTTGTGGGACATAGAAAAGCTCGATGAAAGCACTAAATGCTTAGACCCTGGAAATTTCATCAAGGTACAGAAAATTCAAGTTTTCATCAACAATAGCCACAATGTAAGCAATAAACAAAAATGAAAATGCATAACTACCAACCAAATTGACATTTCAACAATTGAACATCAAATCCTAATAACTGAAGATGAGAAAAGTTTTGTCATGACAACAATGAAGATTTAGTGGTATGATTTAATTTTTTTTGCTCTTATTATGATAGATAATTGTATTAAGATAATTCATTGTGTTCTTTATATACATTTTTGTTCAAAATAAATATCTAATATCCTGTCATTGTGATATTTGTTGTTTGATAATGTTCCTGGGCCTTGCTCTAGTCTAGTTTTGCTTACTTTATGCAAGGGTTTCAAAGAAGTCAGAAAGTAGCCAGAAAGATTAACCAATTAAGTCTCATCTGATCAAATATGGCATTTGTATGCTAAAAGGTGAATCCTTTTGGTCTATTTGTAACCATAGATTCAAAGGGGGAACCAAACACTTATATATGCCTATCTAGATTGGTGAAGTCTTGATGATCATAAATAATTAATTTGAATTGCTTTCCCACTAATATTGATGCAGTTTGGAAAAGACTTTGTTTTTGCTTCTAGCTTTACTTCTTGTTCTTTATAATGTCTAAAAGACTTAAAAGAATTATTGCATTTGCAGAGTTGATTACACTTATTAGCTCTTCTTCAACGTTAGTCAATGAAAATCAGTCGCATTAATTTCAGATGTTTCCTTGTAATTGCTTTCTTAGAATCAATTCCTAGCTAAACAAAAAATTATGTTATTGTGCATATTCTATGTTTAATGATGATCCACTAGTCTCTTCTAATATTATATGAAGGCTACAATGAAAAAAGTTTGCTCTGTACTCACCCCACTACTGTTATAATGCAAGTATTTGAAAATTTTTTTTTTAAAGGCTCTTCTCAAATATACTAAAGTTGTTTAGCAAATGTTAAAAAACATTTTTTTTAAAGTACTATTTATAAGTTTGAAATTTTGTTTAAGGGAAATTTAAAAATTGTTTTTTAAAGTGAATATTAATTAAGTTTTGACAAAATTTTAAATGTATAATTTTTAAAAAATTTGTATAAAAGACACTTAAAAAAGTTAATTTTAAGTATTTCTCTCTAATAAAATTTTAAATTTGTGAGAAAAATAATATTTTTTAAATTTTACCAAACGCCTTCACTAATCTAAGTTGAGTTCAAGAGATGAAAGAAAGAATAATAAACATTAACTTAATAAACTTTAACTTAGTTTCTCTTTCATTGTAATCTTCAATTAATATATGAACTTTTTCCATGGAAAGAATACTAATTCACAAACAAGAGGGAAGAACAAGAGCAGAATCCTAAAAGAAACATTATAGCATGAAAATTTTAATACTGCTATTATACCTCTTAATCTTAGTGTGAAAGGCATGAACAAGGAGTAGGAAAAAGTTCAGGTCAGAAAATGCTCACTGTACTCAGAATGAGTACAAATTCTCGGTACCATCTATCTTTAATTCTTATAGCTGCTTGCCAGGGGTAGATTAATTAATTCCTTTTCGTAATCTGCAGATGTTAAAAATATCATAAGCTGATTGCCGAATAAACTCTTAATTCTTTGAGCACTGATAGAGTTTAAAGGTGTATTTAGTTTTGCTAATTTTTTCATCTTATAATTTTTTTTTCCTAAATAGTATATTAAAATATTTAGACCTGTTAAGTAAATTTTAAACTAATATGAGTAACATTTATCATTATCAATTGTAGGCCTGGGCATTCGGAACCGAACCGATGGATTAACCGAAAACCGAATTGAAAAAATGAATTTGATTTGGTTTTAATGGTTATTGGTTTTTACTGTTTCAATTTTAATGTTAACCGAATTAATTTCGGTTTGGTTTCGGTGAACCTCTTAAAAACCAAAAACCGAAAATAAACCTATTAAAAACTAAAAACCGAAAATAAACCTATTAAAAACCAAAAATAGGATAAATATGACAAAATATAACAAAATATGATAATATAAAATAAAATATAATCTATTA